GACCGATATTGTCCATTTTCGCACCCGCCCTAGCACTGATGCAAACATTAGGATTTGCAAAGTTGGAGTAAAAGCGGATCATCCTTTCTTTTTCTGTGCAGCAAAATATTTTCTTTGAAAATTTCGACCTTTTGTGGGGGAGGCACCAGAAGGACGAGACCGCTTTATTCCATCTTCATACCAGACCTTGGGTCAATAAAAATATTCTAAATTGTGTAATTTGAAGACAATCGGACACTTACATCACATTTTACAAGAGTTCTGATTATTCAAATTTTGACCCCTTGTGGGGAGGACGGATATTGTCCATTTTCGCACCTGATCTAGCACTGATGCAAATATTAGTATTTATAAAGTTGGAGTAAAATCGGTTCAGCCTTTCTTTTTCTGTGCAGTAAAATATATTTTTTTGAAAATGTCGACCTTTTGTGGGGGAGGTACCAGAAGGAGTGATCGATATTTCCCATCTCCGAACTCGATTTAAATTTGATAATAATATTACGATGTAGCAAGTTCGGAGCAAATCGGATACTCCCTACGAGAGTTATCGTGAGCACCAACCAGCCAGACAGACGGACGAACGGACGGGTATCGCTAGATCGACTTCAAATGTCCTGAAACGGATGTTGGGCTAAAGAGACCTAGGGTCTAAAACCTTTATTTCGATGAGGCATGTTTTGGCCGTATCTAATGATATATATAACCTCTCAAGCCATATGGCTGAGGGTATAAAAATTACTTAGACATGTCTTTCATCTACTCTGGTATGGAATATGATGTCTTCTCTCGTGGTGGGGGGACACTTCTTTGTTTAGTACTCAACACCTGACATTATTTTCGAAAGTGATTTCATTTTCTATCATCACTTTTAAAATGTTTTTATTTCTTTCCTTATTTTTTTCTCATTCTTTTAAGTGAAATTAACTGAGGGCATCCTCTCGAAACGTATTCACATCAAATTAGTTACGCCATGGCAGGGAAAATGTTTAATTTAATTACAAATGTTTTGAACAAACGAACATTTTCAATTTCTAGAATTTTAATGAAACATTTTAAAATTTGTTCTGCCAGCCAGGCACATGAGCAATTTTCACATGGCCATTATTTTGGCTTTTACTCTTAATTAGTCATCTATGTGAGTTTTCACAATTTTCGCTTTCAAAGGTATTTGTAATCATTTTTTTTTTTTTTTGAGTAGACAAAATGGCAATTTCTTTGGTGTGGGTGCCCACAACCAAACATCCAAATATTACACTGCGGGAAAAAAAAACCAAATTTGCATTGAAATTTCAAATTATCATGAAAAGCAATTCGTCTTTTTTGGTTCTGACGAAATATTTAGGGGGACTTCATTGTTGCAACATCTGTTTGTGAACACCTTGAGAGGCAAACATTTGCGAAAATTCAAATTAAAATCTCATCACTTGAGATTTTGTACACCTGCAGCTGAAATATATTTTTTTTTCTTCGCAAGTCCTCTTCCCCTCCATCCCTTCTATTTGCATTTCCTTTCATTTCACTTGGCTTGCCAATAATCTGTAATGGTTGGTTGACACTATGTGAGATGTGCAGGTATATCTTTTGTGGCTATCTTTGGCCATTTGTCACTCGTTGAGGTCCTCATAAATACCCTCCCCCCATCAACCTCACACATTTCTAACCATGAAATGAATTTCCTTTAAACGTTTGCCAATTTTCTGCTCGTCACTTGATCATGTCACGAATTTTTTTTTGTGGGAAGGCGAAATTAATTTATTTCATTCGACACCTAATCAGTCGGGATTTTATGCACAGTGGTGCATGAAAATTGAGATAGAAAGGCACTTTTTCAGAACAAAACAGCACCAATGGGAAACCGTCAGATAGAAGAGAAATATGTCTTCTTAGAGAACACCAAAGGGTGTTCTAATAAAAGACAAAAATTACTTCTCGTAGAAGACCAATGGGTCGTCTTATAGAAGACCAATAGGTCTTCTCTATAGAAGACCAACAGGTCTTCTCTATAGAAGACCAACAGGTCTTCTCCAAAGAAGACCATATGGGTCTTCTCTATAGAAGACCAACAGGTCTTCTCCACAGAAGGCCAATAAGGCTTCTCCATAGAAAACCAAGAGCTCTTCTCCATAGAAGGCCAAGAGGTCGTCTACATAGAAGACCAAGAGGTCGTCTACATAGAAGACCAAGAGGTCTTCTACATAGAAGACCAAGAGGTCTTCTACATAGGAGACCAAGAGGTCTTCTACATAGAAGACCAAGAGGTCTTCTACATAGGAGACCAAGAGGTCTTCTACATAGAAGACCATATGGGTCTTCTCCATAGAAGACCAAATGGGTCTTCTCCATAGAAGACCAAATGGGTCTTCTCCATAGAAGACCAATGGGTCTTCTCTACAGAAGACCAAATGGGTCTTCTCTATAGAAGACCAAATGGATCTTCTCCATAGAAGACCCAAATGGGTCTTCTCCATAGAAGACCCAAATGGGTCTTCTCCATAGAAGACCAAATGGTTCTTCTCCATAGAAGACCAAATGGGTCTTCTCAATAGAAGACCAAATGGGTCTTCTCCATAGAAGACCAAATGGGTTTTCTCCATAGAAGACGAAATGGGTCTTCTCCATAGAAGACGAAATAGGTCTTCTCCATAGAAGACCATATGGGTCTTCTCCAGAGAAGACCAAATGGTTCTTCTCCATAGAAGACCAAATGATTCTAGAAGACCAATAAGTCTTCTCCATAGAAAACCAATAGGTCTTCTCCATAGAAGACCAAATGGGTCTTCTGAATAGAAGACCAATCGGTCTTCTCCATAGAAGACCAAATGGGGTCTTCTCCATAGAAGACCAAATGGGTCTTCTTCATAGAAGACCAAGTGGGGTCTTCTCCATAGAAGACCAAGTGGGGTCTTCTCCATAAAAGACCAATAGGTCTTCTCCGTAGCAGACCAAATGGGTCTTCTCCATAGAAGACCAAATGGGTTTTCTACATAGAAGGCCAAATGGGTCTTCTTCGTAGAAGACCAAATGGGTCTTCTTCGTAGAAGACCAAATGGGTCTTCTTCGTAAAAGACCAAATGGGTCTTCTTCGTAGAAAACCAAATTGATCTTCTTCGTAGAAGACCAAATGGGTCTTCTTCGTAGAAGACCAAATTGGTCTTCTTCGTAGAAGACCAAATGACTCTTCTTCGTAGAAGACCAAATGGGTCTTCTCCATAGAAGACCAAATGGGGTCTTCTCCATAGAAGACCAAATGGGGTCTTCTCCATAGAAGACCATATGGGTCTTCTCCATAGAAGACCAAAGGGGTCTTCTCCATAGAAGACCAAATGGCTCTTCTCCATAGAAGACCGAATGGGTCTCTCCCTAGAAGCCCAGTAGGTCTTCTCCCTAGAAGATCAATAGGTCTTCTCCCTAGAAGACCAAATGGGTCTTCTCCATAGAAGACCAAGAGCTCTTCTCCATAGAAGGCCGAATGGGACTTTTCCATAGAAGACCAACTGGGTCTTCTCCGTAGAAGACCAACTGGGTCTTCTTTAAGAAGACCAACTGGGTCTTCTCCATAGAAGACCAAATGGGGTCTTCTCCACAGAAGACCAAATGGGTCTTCTCCATAGAAGACCAAGAGCTCTTCTCCATAGAAGGCCAAATGGGTCTTCTCCATAGAAGACCAATGGTGTCTTCTCCATAGAAGACCAAATGGGTCTTCTCCATAGAAGACTAAATTGGTCTTCTCGCTAGAAGACCAGTGGGTCTTCAGAGATCCTTTTTTAAATCCACTTCGTGTGTTCTTCATTATTTTTCATTCCCCTCCTTTGAGTCATTTGGCCGGCCCAATGGCTGTCATCTCTTTAGCCATTATATTCGTCATCGGTCGCAGAAAAACTGTTTGAATAGCAAAAGAATTTCTTCAATAACAAATGTTGTATTTGAAATTCGATTTATTACCGTTTCGGTCGGATTGTTTGCCAAAAAATATTTTCTGGCTTTCGCTTATCGGTGTTAATCAACATCTTGCCAATCGCGACATAAATATCCGTTTCTTGACGTTTTAGATATTTATTTGGTTGGTATGTTGTTGGGCGGTGTGTGGTGTACCTCCTCAGCATCAGCACACCATCTTTTGGTTTGGCGTGGAAACGAGGGATTTTCAAATGACAAGATTTATATATTTATTTTGTTTGCTTGGCAAATATTTGAATGAGGCTACTAAATTCAGATATGTGTTTGATTTTCTATGGCTGGTTTCCGGGTCGGTTCTATTGATGGACGAAGAGGGGAGCTTTTTCGCATAACTTTATTTGTTTAGTTGTGAAAATTAGCATTGTTAGCATGCTGATGATTAGCAAATAATGTGTTCAATAGTTGGTCGCAGTTATTTTTTTATTTTTTTTTTTTTTTTTTTTTTTTTTGAAATAAAAATTTTGAATTTCACGTTTTTGGATCCATTTTCAGAATTTACTTCTAATACCTTAAAATTAATTTTTTTTTCAAACGAATTTTTAAGTTTTCTATATAAAACCCCTCCCTCTAAGAACATCAAATTTGTTCTTTGCTGTTCCAACAGAACCTCTGTTCTATCAGAATGGCCTAAAGTGGCAGCCCTGCCAGAATAGAAGTCTACTCACTACGAATTGTATATCCAGATATCGCAATCTTTTGACAATTTTTAATATCCGCTTCCCTGCATTTGTTTTGAATACCTTATTATAATCTTTAAATAATTGTCATGTTGTGTTATTTTTTCCTCCTTTTTTTCTTAATTGAATCATGATAAATTTTGATAGCTAATTTCCTGTTGCGAATTTTTTCTTCGTTTCATTTAATTCTCATATTGTTGTTATTAAAAATGAAAATTTTAATTGAGAGACCTTCTGCGCCGTGTGATGAGGCCATATTCATTCATTTTTATTAATTAAGCGTAAATCCTTATTAATTTTCAAATTCAAAAAATATGCATCTTTCAATATGCTAATAATTATTTTTTTCGATTTTTTTCTTTTCAGGTAATTATTGCAATGAGTTGAATCGATATGTATGTATGTAAATTTATTTAATAAATATTTAAAAATAGAGTAGTAATGCTGAGTGCCGATTTCTAAAACGGCACTCTATCGCAAATAAGTTAACATTTAAGATCAAATTTTCCGCAGTATAATTTAAAAAAAAATCTTCAAAAAAAATAAACAATTAAACAAGCCAATATAAAGCCCTCCTAATCCATATAGGTCCTTAAAACAGCTTTCCGCCCATGGAGTTCTTTAAAAGGTTTATGCTAATAAATCTTCAAATAGAAATCCCATGGGTCTTCTAATAAAAGACGAAAGGGTCATGGCGGGAGGTCTTTAAAAGTTATACTGTATATGACATCCTGCAAGTATGAGAAAGTCTCTCGTGAAAATCTGAAGACACTTTAAAAGATTTACGTCTTCAGTTCAAACAATGCCTTTCGGTATTTACAACCGCTGGTTATATAGGGTTGCCCATATTCGGCGGACCCATCTGGCAACGCCATAACTTTTGACAGAGATGTCACATCGCCTTATGACATACCGCGTTTGAAGCGTCAGTCCAGCAGATTTTTACCATCACCAATACACGCCACGCGAGCGCTCTGAAATTAACATTCAACAGAAGAAGTCAATTGTGAAAACTCAACGTCCTTTAAAACATTAAAAAATGTGAGAAGTGCGCCTTCTAAGAGCACCATTAGCGTTTATACGAAAAAAATTTTTGACTGGTAAGGCTCTTTCTAAATCGAAGAGGCCATATAAAAGTCGATCAAGGCCCAAGGTCCCCAAGAACATCCCAAAAACGCCGTTCTCAGCAGTTGCGCATGGCTCGGTCCACTTTACAACGGATTATTCGCATAGATTTGTAACATCCCTAAATATTCATCGTAGGCCCCATAAAGTCTATATATATTTATAAATCATCGATTAACGATGTCCGTCTGTCTGTCTGTCTGTTGAAATCACGATACAGCCTACATTATTTGACGTAGAGCGTCAAAATTAGCAGAACAATTTGTATTGTATCTAGGATGAGATATATCGGTCCCACGTTTTGGTATAGCCCCCATATAACGGTATCTACCGATATTCAGTATTTTGATGATTTTTGCCAAATTTTTTCATGGGTTTGTCTAAAAATTCGTATTTACCCACCAATATTCGGTATTCGATAATCCTAATCACATTTAACCACATAGTTTTTTCAAAATTTGATATTTTAAATTTTTTGATAGATGACAATACTTGAACTAATCCTTATATATGGAGAATTGTCATTGCCTTCTTATGAAAACCTTTGAAGGAAATAATTTTCTATAGCATTTTCTGTTCTGTAATAGTACTTCTGAATACATTCTTCGGAAACCTTTACAGGCATTCCATGCTTTAGGTGTCTGTAAAATAATATAATTTTCTATTGAAGTTAAAAAAAATCACTACCAACATTTTAGATTGAAAAGACCACCTGTGAGCTCATATAATGACATCAAAGTGACACCATTGGGACTTCAAGTCTTTACTGGGAGGACCTTTCTTCAAAACATTGAATTTTACTTTACAGACAATCTTTTAAGGTCTCCTAAGTCATCAGGTCTCCTTATCTGTAAAGGAGCCTCATGCTACTATCTTCGAAATTTATTCTGTTTTTGAAGGGAGATCTCACAAAGGTATACTAGGTCATCATAACATCAATTTTTTCCTTTTTCTGTACATGACCTTATTTATCTTCAAAATCTGCAAATTTAATTATTTTTATTCCATAGAGAGTCCTCAAATCCCTTCAAAGTCATTATAGCTTCAAAGGATCTTGATTCTACTGAGAATCTTATTTCTACACAGGTCATCTATTCTATAGGGGTTTGAGGATCCACTATAGACTGTCTTTAAATGTTATGCCTAAATAAAGGTTAATTTCAATGATATTTTGAAGTCCATAAATATCTTCAAAGCCATTATTATTTACATTTTTTTTATAAAAGGTCTGATTTCTGAAAGGCCATCCCCAGTTTAAAGGGGCTTTGGGTTGTATTTTCTGTAGAAGGTCAGTACATTTCCTTTCATATTTAATATAGTAAAATAAGGTCTCCCAAGGTATCATAACTTTCAAATTCACCCTTCTATAAAGTACAATTTTCTGAAGAGCCTATCCATTCTACCGAGTTTTAAATGCCTACTTTCTGCAGAAAGTCATCATTTTTTAAAGTTAACGCTTTTTCTGCAAAGAACTTTATTTCTGGAAAAGTCATTCATTATATAGAGGGCTTGGGTCCTATTTTCTATTTAATACCTTTAAATTGTTTCTTTATTCTAAACAGCTAATTTTCACGTTTTTATTCATCCCGTCCATCCTTTATCCATCCATATTTTTTTTCTAAAGAAGGTTTTTAAAAAAGTATTCTTTAAGAAAACTAAATGCCCCTTCTCAATAGAGTGGTTTACAGGACTTCAAAGATTATGATTTCTATAAGGAACCATCCATTATTTGAGGGCTGTGGGGGGTAATCCTTTCTAAAAAAAAATGTATATAATTTTTTCAACCTAATTTAGAATCTTCGAGGATCTTTTTTTATTCAGTAGGATGCCTCTCCAATGTCTTGTGTACTATATAAGATCTATGAGACGTTTTCTTTTATATAAAATACCTAAAATCATTCCTATTTTCTATTGATAAGCCTAAATTGAATGTTGTCCAAAGGAGGCCTCATCGTACATAGTTATATTTGGGTCTTTTTTCTCTCATTGCCAACAAACCATTCATGGAAATCGATGATTTTTTAGTAATTAGTGCAGAGTCTGAGATTGTAGTTTTTCTTTTCTTTTAATGAAATCCAAAACTATAGCATACCCTAAGGCGCTAGATTACATAGTGAAAGTTATCTGTCATTAGAGCAAACCAAATATTCTAGTTCTTGATACCGATCCTTTAATTACTTTCAAAAAAACGTAAAAATATGTTCTGCCATTTAATACAGATGTATATATTGGAGAAATAATTCTCATGTAATTAAAATAAATATATAATTTAAATATTTATCTTTATTTTTCAATAAATATTTTTTTTTATTTTTTTTTTTTGTAATCGATTGCAAATAGCGATATCTGTTTATTTTCAACAGTTTTTGTCTTTTTGTCTTTATTTATTTTTGGGTTTCAAATGAGGCAATTCGAATTACTCTTCCTTCGCCTTAAGCTGTAGGGCACCACCAAAAAACAGGAAATGAAATGAAAACATTTTGCCATTTGATTGGAATTTAAATTGGAAATTAAATTTTTATTTTTCTTAAAATAAAAAAATAATGTTGTTTTCAAAATAGTTAGGCTTAATCCCATTATTGTTGTTTTTATAAAAACAACATTTGTTTATTAGTAGTGGATAACGATTGTAATGTTTGCCAGGGTGTGAGCCTGAAAACACCTAGGTTTCGGAGAGAGCCATCAAGAAAACTAAGGAGGATTGGTGTCTCTTTCCGAAAACTAGATGTACAAAATAAATTTTAACAAATAATTTTTAAATTTAAATTTTTTTTAAATTAGTCTTTGATGTATACAATGTTAAAAATCGTCTGGGCTCCCATATCAATCTCTATCCTTCTATAGTTAATTATTTTATTCACCGTTTCAACTGAGTTCACTCTTAATTTCCTTGTCCTCCTTATTCGTCTTTTGTTGCAGAAGTCCCTCAAAATATCATCAAAAAATCATACATTTAATGGCACATTAACTCATAAATATTTCGAAAAAATATAGATATGCCAATTACGACTGACAGAGAAATGCACATTTTCGGCAATTAGCGCAATGCCATTGGGGTTAGCACTTTTATAAATCAAAATAAATCTACTGTAGATAATTGAAAGACCAAAAAGAAAAAAATATGCTTACAATTCTCTAAAGGTTCAAGATTTGTAGATAATCTCTAGAAGGTAAAATTTAATTGGCCATGATATTTTATGGCTTGTATTTATCTGATTTTGAATTGAAAATAATCCCATAGATGGGACGGTAGTGGTGTCATCTTCAATAAGCAATTAAGTGTTTTGCTGTGTGCTATAATTTTTGTCATACTCGTACAATTGTTGAAAATTAGCAACAATTTTTACATGAATTTGCGTCATCGTCTATCTGACGAAGAACAAAAGCCTTTTTCTTTCTATTGGTCAATTAAATGGTCTGTTGGCCGATTTATGGTAATTGTCATTGTCATTGTTTTTTTTTTTTTTTTTTTTTTTTTTTTTTTTTTTTTTTTTTTGTGGCGTATTTCAGTGGCAAGATCAATTTCCAATACACGGAAACTATCAATTAGCGTTGATATTGGCATTATTACGGACAGAAAATGTAATTATACAGAATTTATTTCATTTGAGGATTTCAACGACGTGGAATTAAAAAAGAATTAAATATGAGATTTTCTATGGTCTTCTATAGTGAGTCTTCCCGAGTGAAGTTCGCCTAAAGAAATAAAAGAACCATAGGAAGGCCCAGAATTCTATGGAATAGAAGTCCGGGCCTTCCAATTTATGAATTATAGAATAAAAGACCTCCTTCTTCGTCTATAGAATAGAGACCTCCGTCTTCTATAGAATAGAAGACCTCCTTCTTCTTCTATAGAATAGAAGACCTCCGTCTTCGATAGAATAGAAGATCTCTGCCCTCTATAGAATAGAAGATCTCCGTCCTCTATAGAATAGAATACCCTCCCCTCGTCTTCTATAGAATAGAAGATCCTCCCCTCGTCTTCTATAGAATAGAAGATCCTCCCCTCGTCTTCTATAGAATAGAAGACCCTCCCCTCGTCTTCTATAGAGTAGAAGACTCGCCCCCGTCTTCTATAGAATAGAAGACCCTCCCGCCGTCTTCTATAGAATAGAAGACCTCCCTCCGTCTTCTATAGAATAGAAGACCCTCCCTCCGTCTTCTATAGAATAGAAGACCCTCCCTCCGTCTTCTATAGAATAGAAGACCCTCCTCCGTCTTCTATAGAATTGAAGACCCACCCAT